CTTAACGATCAGTCCACTGCGGGACCATCTGTATTTGCAGATGGTCAATTGTCACAAGGCAGGATGTCATCGACACTGTTAAAACAAGGGATGTACACGGTTTGCAGGGTTATTTGGTTGCAAAACTATTTTCAACATTTCATTTTAGGAAAATAAGTGCGTTTTATCTGTTATTTTTAACATGCTGGCAAGGAAAAAAAGCTTTTAAAAAGGGAAAAAATAAGATCGTAAAAAGCTTTTGCCTATTATCTAACCTTACCACACTTTGGAGCCATACATAACTGTTGCCAGCTTTATTCCTCGGACCGGCCCTGTTCAGACCACCATTTAATTTGAAAGTACAGTAGGGAATCGATTATCCGGAACAGTCGGGACCATCGCTATTTCGGATAACTGATTTTTCCGGTTTTCTGAATCGCTACAAAAAGCCGTTTTTTTTTATTGTTAAACCCAACTAAAAAAAAAATGTTAGGAAATAATCTCAAAAAGAAGAAAAAACGATGAAGTAATACAGTAATGATTATTTCTAAAATGATGGTACGGTAAACATCTTTCGAAAAAGAAAGAAAAATCCAAAAATCTTATGAGGAAAAAAAATTTTTTTTTTAAAAAATGGCGGGGAAACTTTATCGAATTTCGTTCCGGTTTTTTGGTTTTCCGATTTCCGGATAACGGGTTCTGTACCTCTTTTCTGTAAGGCGAAGGTCATTTAGAAAGCAAAGAACTCACGAAGGTCATTTAGAAAGCAAAGAACTCATCAGCAAAGCTAAGTTAAAAGAGACAACGCAAAAGTTTATTTACAAAGTCATAGTACCTTACTTTAATTTACAATACTGTCATCATGACTGTTTAGGCACTTATTATAAAGTGAAACAATTTCGATGTAAAATTCTCTCTAATTTTTTGTGCCTTCAAGTTATCCTTCACGAATGATTCTCATGGAGGTAGGTAAGGAAGGGGTTCAAACATCCCCATCATGCATGATAATTTTTGATTTTCTCTAACTACTAGTTTTTGAAAAAAAAAGCTGAAACTCTTATTAGGTAAAAAAAAAAAAAAACACTTAAAAGCTTCTTTTACCATGTCGATAAAAGTCTGTTTTTCCATTCAAAAAATGTAAAACAATTGTTCTTTCATTACTTAAAAGCGCAATACTATAAGGTCAGTGAGGTAAATCGATATCAGAGCATGTTCAATCTATTTTACTTCGGGAAATGTTCACGGTTTCAAATTGCCATTCTCTTTCCAACATTAGCTTCGTGTCTGAGGGGGAATATTTGTTTTAACAATAAATGGGATATCTATATTGTAAAGAATGTAGAATAATATAACTTGCTTGTCCGTAGTTTGGTCAGAAATGCAACACGTATAAAATTTTCTGAAATATTCCGGCGCTTGGACGTAGAGTTTTTAAGAGTGATTGTAGCTTAGGGTAGGGTGTATGCTACAAGGGGGCTGACTCTCAAATCACAGTACATGTTGTAGAGAGCCGTGATGGTTCAGGGGATTGAGCGCGGCTTATATATATGATGATCCAGGTTCGATTCCCAGTGATGGGTGGTCGATATGAATTCCTCACCCGCCTTGCTTCGAAAACATAGTGCTGACGTAAAACATCCTCAAGAGTAGAAGGATCTTGGGTTAGTCTTCTTGCCGCCTGGCTAACTGTGGGAGATTTTCCTCTCCATGTAACGCAAATGCTGAGTAGTTCCATCAAAAAAGTCCTCTATAAAGGTTAGTTTGTGCCAATGTTTGATTCAGGAGTTCATTTTTCCTCTGGATTGGGTTCGAAATTACAAGGCTACGGAGTTGAACATTGATAGTCGTAAACTCAGAAATGGGTCGGCTGTTCAAAATCGATTATCAAGTAAAATGTTAAGTACACGTTGTCTAAAAACTTTATGATGGTGATACTAACGAGCGCTCTGCTTTTCGTTCATTTTTCTTTTGTCTTCTTCATATCTTTAGATAATTATTTAGATGGTTCATTCCAAATGAATAAAGAATTTAAAAAAAGTTATTGAAATAATTTTTGGGAAAATTTTTTACAAGGAATAAATCACGTCCTTTACTACCTCTTTTTTTAAAAATTTTTTGCCCAATGTTAAATATCATACTTTTAAACATAAAAAATCAAGTTGTTTTTTGATATTAAAAAATAATAAGTGGCTCTTAGCCGAAAAATTCCGTTATTTTTAAAAACAAGCAATCAGTTTCTTGACCTCAACTTTTTTTTCATAACATTAAATTTTTCAAATAAATAGGGTATTTAATATTTTGATTGAGATCAGGAAAGTTAGTAATATCATCTTAAAAAAAATTTGACTAAAAACCACGAATTTTTTTAATCACTAATAAGTAAAAATACCATTTAGTTTTTTTTTTGTATTGAAGAATATGACATTTATCATCAAGAGAAAAATATATATTAAGAAAGGGCATTACGGAACACATGTACTATTAAAATGATTTTGTCTTATTTTAGCTACATCAAAATCGGAAAGTGAGATGACAAGATTGAGGATAAATGGGATAATCATAATCTAATTCTAATGGTACTTTTGATTTTTTCTACACAACAAAAGTAGTTATCAATCATATTTCACTATCTCTTTAATAAAAATCCACCGATCCTCTCGCTTAGGATTTTATTAACGCCCCCGACTGTTTTTAAATAAAATAATAACTCACGACAAGTTTTTTTTTTCTTCAAGGAATTATATTTGGATAAATGAATTTGATAATTGTGTGCAAAATTTTCTTCAATTCGCTTAAAATGTTCTCGAGATTGAAATACTCACAGAATAAAATTAATATTAAGAGGTCTAAACTTTGGAACACTTTCCTAACCAAACTATTGGGAACATATTTCCCGGAATCATCTGCATTTTTGGGTCAGAAATCCGAATCCATTGAATATAAGGCATGTTTATACAGAGAAGTGTTTGTCTGTATAATTTTGTATCTTAAAATTAATTAGCATATTTGAAATCATCCCTTCTAACCATTTTGATTGAGACTTAGAACGCGAAAATCCAGTTGTTGTCGTAGTTAATTTACGTCGCACTAGAGCTGCACGATGGGCTATTGGCGACGGTCTGGGAAACACCCCTGAGGATGATCCGAAGACATGCCATCACAATTTTGATCCTCTGCAGAGAGGGGATGGCACCCCCGCTTCGGTAGCCCGACGACCTGCACGCGAAGTCGAGCACTTTACGATAGAACAGTTTAACGAGGACCAATACCGCACACCCTCGGTCCCTACGCAGACTGATCCAAGTGGTCACCCACCCGCACACTGACCGTAGCCAGTGATGCTTGACTTCGGTGATCTGCTGGGAACCGTGTCTTAACGATCAGTCCACTGCGGGACTGAAGATCCAGTTATTGGATTAAAAGTTATTCAGAGTGGTACATAATTTTTTTTTTGCGCCCTGTTTACTCCTGAAACACTAATAGAACACAAGCATGTTATTCCAATGGAAGGGGACAGATTTTACTTTATAATTTTTAATGTACTTTATTTCTTTGGGAAAATAAAAGAGCATTAATCATTTAACAAAATGATTCCTAGTGATAATTTCCTAGCATTTCTTTCAAAAAGTCATAAAAAGTTGAAGGTTAAACGAAAAAATTTGTAAAATATCCTTTTCAGCCGATGCAATTTTATGCCAGAAAACACAAGAAAATATTAGTGAAAGCAAAGTCAGTTCGCGAATGCTAAAAAACTTTTTCAACACTTAACAGTTGAGAAGTCCACATTAACTCTAGCTTATGAGTAGTTATGCTACTAGTATTGTAATTATTACTTTAATTTTGAATTATTCGATTGAAATTTGAGAAGTATATAGATATTTTCATCACGTTTAAAATAATATAATAGTAAAAATTTCTTTGCCTAATATTTAAAATTTAGTTGAAGAACATTTATATTATTGTCAAAACAAAAAATTTAAACCAATGTACAGAAGAATTTTGTTTATATTTTCATCTGTAAGGTTGTGTATACTCTTTGAGAAAACAAGCTTTTTAAATGCATTATATAGGTTTTTTATATGGCTAGTTCATAAATACCAGAAACTTGACTCCAGCATCTGGTACATTTCTTGAATTTCTTTTCTTTAAAAAGCTCTGTTTAAAATGTTAACATATTACATCTACCTTTTTTAAAACTTATTTATGTTCATAATGCATAATCTATAATCAGCAAAATACAAGCAATGGAATTGTTTTCAACAAAAATCTATTTTGTTATAGTAATTGATTGTAGTAAAATTTTGATCATTCACACTAAGGCAGCTTTTAAGAGATGTAAAAATTTTATATCTTTTAGTCTCATTCTTGCATGCAATTATACGTTTGTGCAAATTTAATTTAGATAAAATATAATATTTACTGCATTTTTTGGTCTTGAAATTAAAGTGCTCTGTAACTTTTTTGGCAAGATTGTTGGTTTAGTACATAGCACCTTTAAATAATTATCAAAAAAATAATTATCTGATGTGCCCATGTAAAGTTATTTTTACATTATAAGAAATTATTAGCAATTTTCATATCATTAGATGCTTTCCTGGTTCCATTCTCTGGAAAAATTTCTACATTGTGCTTAGGTTCTGCTAAGTAAAATTTCAGATACTAAAAGAATAAAGTTACGTAGTATTTCTCCATTTAATTTCAGTGATAAAAGAAGAAAATATTTGAAGTAAGTAATTTGAATAATTTTAAATTATGTTCTTTATTGTGTCAAATATTTCAAAAAATGACAATTTAAAAATTGAACTCTTTTATTTCAGGATTTTTTTTTTAAAGTTAAAATTTCCACTCAATATAAATGTAAATATAACTTATGTAGTGTGATCAATGATCTTAATAAAAGAGTTGACAATGAAAATCCCCAATATTGTACTTAAATAACTTATCTTTTGTATAAAGTTTGAAATTACCTTACTAGTTATCACAGTGAAAAAATATCACAGAACACATAATAGAGATCACAATTAAAAAATATAACATTTAATTTATAGTAAAACATTTAAGCGTTGTAATTCTGTTTTCTGAGAAACATTTTCCATTGATTTGTATTCTTCGATAAGATCTTTTAAATCAGCAAGTGATGATTTGAAGTTATCATTCTCCATTGACTCTACTTCCAGGAAATGATGTAAATGAGCCTATTAAAAAAAATTAACATTTTAAAAAAACTTAAAATTTCAATTAAAATAACGCATACAAAAGAACAAAATTAGTTAAACTACATCATAGCATACAATAATTCCCAATTAATCCAATATAAATTTTAAAAGTCATGCGCATTTTTCACCGCATTTCATTAGTAGTATGAGAAATTTTCTTCATTATTGCTCTTATATCTGTGCAATATATTTAATGATAACTAATAACAAGGTAGCTAGTGTTTTATATAAAAAAAAAGAAAAAAAAACTGAATAACTCAGTAAAGGGGTATCAGATTTTTAATTGTTATTATCATTAGATTTCTGACAAAGAATTAGACTATTCTAAAGAATTCTAATCTTAGTTTAATGTACCTCAGTGAAATAATTGGAAGTGTTGCTTCTGAATAAAAAGTCACTTAAGACATTTAGCAAAAATCTTTAATGCAGTAAATGAAGCACTGGTAGACATGAAGTTTAAAGTACCATTATTTTTGCTCAATGCAACATCCTTACTACCTAAGCAAAAAAACATTTCTCCTTGCCTGAATTTATTTCTCCCGGTCGCAGTACCAATAGTTGCAAAGTTCTTTGTGAAACAATAGCCGCATTGAACGCGGTGTGCTTGAATCCATTTCTTTGAATTACTTAATATTTTTTGTTTCCAATTTGCAGTCTTTTCTCTTCAGTGAATATTTTTCGAAGTTTAATACAACCACAAAGCTGCTTGCATAAATTTGTAGTACATAATATTACATTTTTTTAAATAAATATTTTTCACATTCCTCCATTAGAATCATTCTAAATTTCTTAAAATTTTTATAAATACTTACAGAGAGAGATAGAGAGTAAGCTTCAATTCTACCCATAAGGTGCATAAAAGTACTCTCAACAAAATTTCATTATTTTAAGTAACTATGATTACAAAATTGCATGTTTCTGAATTTTTCACGTTTTTTAATTTTTTGTGTCACAACAGCAATAACATACAAAAGTTTGCAAAATATTGATTACATACCTTTTTACGATACATTTTCATGAAGTTTTCTTTCAATAAATTCAATGGTTTTGATATTGATGATGTATTCGAAAGCATGAGAAGTGAGTGATGAGAATTAATATGAGGTACATCACAAAATCCTATCTTAAAACCATCTTCATTCCAAGGTACAAATTTTTGAGTATTTTTTAATCTAAAATGATCAAAAAGTGTAATTAAATAAAAAAAATTCTATTAACTAAGACATAAATGCATAGAAAAATATCTTTCAAGAAACTTTTTTTACTAGTAAGGTTTTAACCATTATTTAACAAAAATTTGAATAATTATTCATTTTTTTACCAATCTAATTGCTATTCTATTAGAGTTTATTGTATTTTAACATAGTACAACAAAGAATGACTAAATATTAGGTTTTAAAATTATTTTTATAAAAGGAAAATGCTGAAAATTTTACAATATTTAAATTTAATATAACTGTGTTCCTTATGGCAAACTTTGCAGTAACCTTCTCTGTTGAAACAACCTTACTCCTTTTCCTGAATTAAAGATGTGAGGATAGCACCTTTGTCCTTGGAACTGAGGTGGGGAGTCACAGTTAGTTTACACCAATCTGCAGTTGGTGATGCGACCAACTAAACTTTGGAGGCGGTGTGGACTTTTGACAATGAAGTGAGTGACATTGATGGTGATGCAGGAAAAGAGATATGAATTGCATTGTTTTCCTCTTGCTGATGTAATTCTTTTGTGAGAATTTCATTTGGTTGCAAGCCTGTGGTTGATTCTAGTTTTATTAGATCCTTGATTGTGAAAATAGCCTCTTAGCTTAGAAATTAAGCAGAAGATTTGATATAATGTAAGTGATAGGTTTTTTGAAAAAATCAGTAATTGAAGCAAAATACGAACTACCTGCTACAGCTCTTTTGAAAATTATTAAAATTTTTTAGCAAATATAAAATATTTGTGCCTCACACTTGTAAATTACCATGGAAATCTCATAAGTTTATTGCAAAGTATGTATCACTGGAAATATAGCATATCAATCATTGTGAATAAATGAAGCCCAAATGGCATGTAGAAATAAAAATCACATAAATAAAAAAGTGACATAATTCAGATTTTCATGATTAAATCTAAGTCCCAAATCAAAAATAATACTTGTAGTAATAAAAAGAAATATGAAAAAAAAAATGTCAAATGATTGTAAATGTTCATGTGTAATCAGAATTCCATAAAAGAATGGTTTTGTGACTGGCGAGATTGACATAACAATCAAGAACATGGATTTAAAAATAAAGGGGTTGGGACAGAAAAAGATAGTGTTTAAAGTGATATTAGAGTTATCATATTTTGAGTTATTACATCTAGACTGTAGTAGGTTGTTATATATACTATAGTCGAAGAACTCCATATTAGCAAAAAATATAGATACCTGTATTCAGAAAAAAACTATAATACATTTTTCAAGAGCATCGTGCCCCTTTTACCCATATATTTCAAATGAGTATTATGCTGTAAGAAGATTACAATTATCTCACCTTTCAACATTGCTTAATGTATCAGACATGGAAATTCGACCTCGGCAAAGAATGGCACACCCAAGTAAAACTCCTTCTCTCAAAGGGCACTGAAATAACTGATGTGACATTGAAAAGGCTTCACTGAACATTTCATCAGGCTTTCTAAGAAATAAAATAATTATCACAAAGGAGAAAACAATTAAAATTTTGTAATTACTCTATGACTCAACTACAAAATGTAATTCGTTTCAGTTTATTTTTGAACTATAAGCATGCTTTGGAATTTCTCATTATATACCCGATTGATTCTGTGAACAACAAAATTGTATTTACCAATGTTATTCAATTTAAAAGGGTTGTTTAAAAAGAAAATTTCAGATAAACATGTCTTGATGCTTAAGCTTTTGACTTCACTAATGTCAAATTATATATTAAGCAAGTAATGGGACTAAATAATTTTAAAGAAAGTTTTTGTTTTAAATTGAAGAAATATGTATGTTTTCAAAGAGATTTAAGTATAAATACTATTACAGAATAAAAAAGTAAAAATGTAGAGTTTACAGCTAAAATTAGATTATAATTCAGTCCCACAAAAATTATTTAGTCCTTTAAATGAAGCAAAACATTTAAATAAAAATAAACCACAATCAAATGCAGTTTATAGATACTTTTAACTTAATTTACATATTTTTAGCACAAGCAAATTATATTGATTAATCAATTAATTAAAATCCCACTAAAATCAATGCAAGTTTATACAGATATTAATCAATCTGTCAAAGTGTTGCTTCCCTCTACCTTAAACAGTAACAGATAAAAGTTAACAGAATAGTGGTTATTGATAATTCAAAATGTTTTTTAGTAGTGAAAATGGAAAAGTTAAAATGTTGATAATAATGTACATTTTTATGTAAACAATAATTTTTATAGTTAGCATAAATTTAATACTTACTGACATAAGTCTTCAAAATAAAATACTGGAGAAACACTTGGTATAAGATAGTGCAGACGAGGATAAGGTGCCATATTCATTACAATTTCATTAATGTCAATATTTAGGCCACCAGGAAACCTGGAATAGCTGAAATAAACTGAATTTCAATGAAATAATAAAAGTTCTTTTTCTTTGCATTAAACTTAAAAAAAAAAAAAATTTATAGCATAAATAAATTTACAGAAGTTCATGAAATGTCACACATTTTAGACTGCACAATAAGCAAACTTAGTTCAGAAAATTTAACATTGATGAGCAAAAGCTAAGAGGAATAGCTAATAATGGGTACTAGTCAGTTAAGGGGTGCTACTTCAGAAGCTAGTAGGGCAAATATTTTAGTTTTAAAACAGAGGTTTCATACAAATATTATAAAAAACTTTTAAGACAAATATTTTAAAATTTTCATGCTGGCTGGTCTAATTTCCTAAAAATGTCATATACATGTGACATAAAACATTTAACATTTTCCTTTTTGTTTGTAGCTTGAAATCACCAAAGTTTTCTCAATCAATTTATACCTAGTAATCAGCAAACTTTATATCTTTTAAAATAAACATAAGTGATTTGTGGCTGGATTCACAAAATCATTTAATTAAGTTTAAAAAGGAGTGTAGTGTTTCTAAAACACCCTTTTTATTTAAATTCTACTACAATTTACATACACAGTTTTTCCCCTGGCTGCACGGCTATATTAAAACAAAATTGCATAGTTCCTTTTTCATGAGTCTTAGCCTGCTTCTTTCCGCCTTGGAAGTTAGTTTTGAGATGTTCTTCTTTAAAAAAAAATAGGCAGTACTTGTCTACTGAATGTTTTGATAATGGATTAGCCAACGAGACAACAGAAGAGGGTTTTGGAGGGAGTGAGGAAAGGGAGTAGGAGAAGAAGTGGGCCTACAATGAGAGATAAGATTTAAATATTCATTCAATTTCATATGACTTTTGTTAATTTTCATTGCAGTGCAATGAACTTTTATAATTCTAAATTTACGTGATCCTTCTAATTTGCTTGCTATATATGAATTACCTTGCTTGACTTGATATATAATATTACTTTTCCCACATGGTCAAATATATACAATGGCGGTATGAATAGTCAGGGCTAAAGAGAGAATAGAAGGGCTAGGTGTCACTCCTTTGAAGAGACTCGTGCCGATCTAAGCTTCTGATTTCAGTCAGTGACGTCACGGCAGCGCAGCATCAACCTCTCGCTTTAAAAATAAATTGTTTCAAGTGTAACTTCTCTTAAATTTATTTCAATACATTCATTGTTGTCCATAATTTTTTATTTTGAGACAATTCTCGCATCTGATTGCAAAAATTTAACAGTCAAATATCACTGGCAAGAATTATTATAAAACACAAAATAATTGAATTATTATAAAACACAAACGTAAATTACTATAAAATGTACTAGAAAAATTTCAGTGAATAAAAAAGCAGTATGTTTTTTGTTTAGACGTTTAAGAACTTTTATTAGGTCATTGAAATTGATACTATCTCGTAACTTTAAACAGAATAGAAAAAGGTCAAAGAAAGAAAAATCCTGAACTTTAAAACTAAAAATTATTAACACTTCCAATTTCATAATGCATTTTTTAATGTCATTATTCAAAATATTTATGTGTTTTAACGCCTTAATTTTAAATACTTATGACCAAGTGTAATATTTCCATTATTATATGATCAAGGATTATTATATTTTTTTAGTAATTAGCATTTGAGGTTTTTGTTTCTTAGTGGTAATGTATAAAAAAAATTGCTATTACATATATATATGAAAATATATCAAAATTAGGCACCCTGATTAATAAACTATTGCTATCGGACAATATGTAACTATAAAAGTGCCTTTCTACACGTTTTTTTATTTAACAGCAAAAGTTAAAAACTGAAATTAGAAAAAGATAAAGAAACGATGACGACGACCATAGAAAATTTTTTCTGACTTAAAATGTTATTTTTTAATAATTTGAGGAATACCAAGAAAATGGATGAATACTATAGTTTTGAACAGAAATAATTTGCTAGCAATGTAAAGTTTGATAGCTATTGCCAGAAAGGTCTCAAATATGCAATTTATTTCTTAAGGAAAGTGTAAACAGCAAAGTTTTCATATAAGTTTAGTTGCGATTTTTGAGATTTGTGTGCGGCGTGGCGTCACAAGGTGGGGAATCGAAGCTTCAGCTTTGAGTAAGGAATAAACTAGCCCTTCTTTAGCCCTGATGAAAAGTAGACAAATTTCTTAGCATTAAAGTGATGTAAAATAAATTAGTAATTCTTTATGATTTTTATACTACACAATGTGTTTATTTTTGTGTATGCATGCGTTGTTGCTGGTGATCTGGGCAAGGCTTTAGTTAGATAACTATTCTAAAACTTATTTGTAGTCAATTTTATTATGCTACCCTTCATTAAAGATAATTCACAACACTATTCTTAATTATTTTATTCCACTATACATGATCTAGTTCCTTATATATTGTCACCACAGAGATATTTATTTGTAAAATGGGTCATTATTGAAAACAATGTTAAATTCTGTGTGCACTATCTTTCATTAGTGTTACATGCCATAACAATCTCTTTTTATTAGCAAGAGAATAAAAATTTGATAGAATCCTTCATCAAAAATATTTTATAGAATACGAAAAAATCAAAGTAAACAATGTTATACATCAAGATTATTTCTTGTTATTATTTAAAAGATTGAATACTGCTTAAGAGGACCCAGTACCTAGAGAAGAAATTTAAATTAATTAACACTTAGGAAACATTGTCTTTAAAGAGGGGATAATTGTAAGAATAATGTCAAAATGACAGTGATATATGATAGAGGGCCAACTACACTGTGTCATCGTCACATGACATGACATATGGTCAAAGGAAAACTGAACAATGTAACTATAACATTAGTTTCAAAAAATGATTCTGCTATATGAGGTTCGGCCTTTATTTTTAAATTCGTTTTTTTAGATTCCTTGCAAACTACACAGAATAAAATATGAAATAGTGATCTAGATAAACTATAAATGTAAATATATAATAGTAATGATAATATATAAACGTAAATAGGCAATTTATAAATAATATAGAATAATAGAAAAGCGATAAAAATGGAAATATAATAAATTATAAAAAAAATTTTAAAGAGAAAAATAAAGAATTTTGTAATGACATATCTTTTTTACATTTCATCATGGGTATAGTTTTTATTTCCTGTAAAAAGTAATAATAATTTCATAAAAATTTTATAATTTATTTTTATTGTTTTGTAAGTTTAAGTTTGGTGCTTGCCTGAAGTTGCTTTCTAATTTATATATTTTAGTAGTGATATAACGATTAAATTTACAATTGTGAGCAGTAATTTTTTTTAACTCAGTACTTTTGATTTTGAAGAACATTGTTAGGGATATGTATATTTTTATTTAAATTATATGTATGCAGTTGTAGTCAAAGTCATTATAAATCAACTTTGTTAAACCAAGATAAAAATATTTAGGTATACATTTTGTTATTGATTATTTGAATCAAAATTATTACTCAAAATTATAATTTTATCTTAAACAAAAAAAGATAACAGCCATATTTATGTTTTTACAAAATGTTAAACACATCGTGAAATTTTAATGCAGTTTAAGTAGACAAGAATCATTTTTGCTTATTAATAACCTAGATTTTGCATAAATTTTTTTTTATTGCTCTCTGTACTTTTGCATCAAAAACAGGTAGGTGTATTATCCATTTGCATAAATAAAGTTGTGACATTTATGTTTGTATCTGTTGTTTAAGGATTTTTTAATGTTAATTTGTAACATAACGTGACCCTGCCTCAATGGGTTTTGTACATTTTTACTTTAGCTATTTCTTGTTATAATATTTGTATGAAGAAAGATGAAAACAGGTACTAAGAGTACATTAGTAACTGAAAAAAGAATTTGACAACAGAGAGTTCAATTCAGTTTATAGTTTACACAGTGTTCCCCATAAGCTTTTTTTGAAAGCCCACCCACCCTGCCTGCCCTTTGATAACAATAAATGCACCCTCTATGCCCTTTGTGTAAAAACAAGCAGTCATCCCTTAAAAACACTGCCTTTTTTCATACACCATTTTGAAAAAAAAATTAACTCACTATTTAAATAATAATTACACACTGTTATAATTCTCTGTGTTTTTAGTTTAATTCTGATTACTATCACAAATATTTACTTTGTTAGGATTATTAGCAACAGGTAAAATTTTTATAAGTCTCTTTTTTTGGAGGGAGGAGGGGTTGAGATATTCATAAATTAAAGTGATTTTAAATTTTAAAACTATTTTTTCAATAAATACCTTTTTTTATTAAAAGAAAATAAACATTTAAATGTTAATTTTCTAATAATTTTCAGTTTCAATTATAGAAAAAAGCTTTCAAGTAGTTTATCAATTAATCATTATTTTGTTACTTTACTTTTTTGTGAAAAAAAATTATGCTCTAAGATTGTCTTTTAGCATGTCTTTAATTATTTTCATTAATTAAAAATTTCTCTTCTTTGAAATATACAACTAAAATAGTATAAGAGGGTAGTTTAAAAACTGTTGAGGATAAAATTCAGTTCTTACACAATATTAAAATTTTTTTACAGTCTTAAGTGGGTGCCCTTTTCAAAGAGGAAGCACCATGCCCTTTTTTTTATTCTTAGGGAGAACTCTGGATTATGTGGCAGTGCAAGCCCAGAGTGTTTATTTTTTATGCATGGAAAAGTTTCTGTGATAAAATATACCAAACTTTTAACTGTATATAAAATGAAATCATCTTAAAGTTACAATTTTTCTTGTTATCAAATCATTACTTACAAATAACCTATGAAAGAATAAAATTTTCGACAAAAAAATTAATCAAAGAGTACCAGAGAAGGCAATAAAAGCATTAAGGATTTGAAATACTGAATATTTTTGGAGGTTTATAAATTCATTAAGAATTTAAAAATTTAATCTATAAATTTCTTAAAGAGATTTTCAGTGAGCAAAAGGCAATTAATTATAAACGCATACAGCATCTTTTGATATTTTTTTAAAATATTGAAACAGTTGTAAATATGTAACTACAAAGTAATGAGAAATAATTATGAAAACTACAAAGCTAGATTAAAAAAACATGCAAACTCTAAAATAATTAAAAGTAGTTAGAGTGGATAAAGATAAAATGGTATACCATGTGAGGTTTAGGATAGCATTAGAAACTATATCATTCATATCTTCAAAAGGTCTTGCATCTTTACCACTAGTGTTAGCAGAGAATGGACGAGATTTTGCAGCATTCAGGTGAGATTGTGAATTCCTTATTTTTGAAAATTTAAAACACATTTCTGTTAAAGTCTGAAAGGATAACATTTTTTTATACATAATTCATTTTTATTTAATATAATTCACATTGTATTAAATAATTTTAATTTCATATTTTAAAATTTCAGGGGTAATTGTGAGCCCAACTCAAAAATCCGGCAAATTTCTAGAGTAAAATCATTAATGAGGCATTTCAAAAAAAATTAATGTCCTTATAAATTTAAATCATTGATATTTCACAACATGTAATTCTAAATAAATTATATGCAGCAAAATTTAAATTAATAATTATAAATAAGTTTACTTTTATCTCTAATCACATTTATTACTCTACCAGAAAAAAATATTAACAAATGAAAGAAATGCCAAGCATAAATTCGAGTTCTAATATTTTTAAATAAAATATACAAGAAGTTTTATACATTAATGTGATCGATGATTTTTTGAAACTTCTGAACCTTGGATTTCCGGAGCACAATCATCTCTGAAATTTGTCAGAAATCACATAAAGTAAAATACACCTCTGAATTTTTTTAAAGACTTACTACCATATTAACATGACATATTTTGAATTTTTGCATTCTGCAGTTGACATTGAAAATTCGAAAAGTCAAAAGTATTAGATTTCAAAACATTAAGAAACGGGTAGTACTTGTATTCTCTCAAAAATGCTTACAAACTAATATAAGCTTTATTGATATATTTTAAGAATGAATAAAAGCCGTTTTAAACTAAAATCCTTCTAGAATAAAATATAATAAAAAAATTTCAAGTAGTATTAATCATTTAGGTATATTATAATTTTACATCGTGATTAGATGTTGCTATAAAGCTATAGTGCAACAAAAAAATGGTTTAATGTTTTATATCAAAATATAGTTACTTCATTATATTTTTAATGAAATTCTTTTACCTATTTTCAATTTTTGGGCAGCTTAGAAGATATTGGTCTAAAATATTATATAAATATGCCACACCTTGTTGCTTTTTTAAAACTTAAAATCAAATTATTTTGAATCATTATCATTGCATAAAATTATTCTCAAAATTCAGTAAAATTATACAAGAAAATAGACATTAAGATAATAATCCTGGATTGAACCCTTCATAGTACACCATATGAACAATAATTGCAATATAGTGCTGAAATGGAATGGTTTAATGACAAAAAGAAAAAAATAATAGAAGAAGCATTCTTAATATTTGCAATTTTGTTACTTAATAATGACAGTATATGACAATAATAATGACAGTAATAATAATAGACAATAATAATAGTCAGGCTTATTGCTGTCCCTTGACAGAGTCACAACAGAAACTAAGGATACTGAATCCCAGTAATTATTCAAAAGAAACAAACTTCTTCAACTTAATATTGACTATGCTAACAAGAAATATTATATAAACAAGATTTTTTTTTTCTCAAAACATTTATCTAATATAATTTGAGTATATTCAACAGTTTAGACACATTTAATTTTTCAGGATGGCCACAAATCAAGGAAAGACATCTTTCTATAAGTTAAACTTATAAGAGGTAATTTTTACTTTCAAGAAATTAAATCAAAGGTAGCCAATCTATTATTTTAATAAACATTATTCATCTAGGAATAATTTGGGGGCACTTAGTGCTGATATTTAGACTGTAAGCAAATTTTTAAGTTGTTAAGAAACTCACTGATTCCAATAGACTGATCTCATATTTTGAATATGATTATTGTCCAAACAATCTCTGTTACTTTCGGTGAAAATCGGAGAGAGAAGGGCTATTATTGGGAGAACCAATTGTTTTTGAATTGAGTGCATATTTATTTTTCAGGTTATTTAAGTTTTTTTGGTCAATAAATGAATATCAAATAAATACCTTAGTTTGAATGATTTATTCTTAAAGTAAAGTAAAATACTGTACATACTATTTTAAGCAAAAAAAGGATTGATTGAACTTAAAAATAGACAAAAATTTGAAAGGTTTCAAACATATTTAACTTACTTTTAAAAATTGCCAGATTGGTAAGAAATTTTTGTTTAGATAAAAAACAATAAATAATATTCAAATATAAGAAACTGGATAACAATCATTTTTATCCTTAAAAAATGTGGATCTTCTTTACACTAGAAGTTTGTAATCTTTTCATTAAGAATATAGAGAGCTGGGCAGAAATAGACAAGCTTAACCTAACAAGCATAACAATTGTTATGAATTCATAACAGTTATAAAAATAGCATGTTACTTACTAAAAAGTACTATACCATGGGACAAAAGAATCTTTGAGAAACCGCCTTAACTGAAGTTAAAAAATACAGAACTAGATGTTAAGGTTTGGAATGTTTGTTTTTCATTTCTGAAGAAATTTAAAAACCATTTACTTAAAGAATACTTGTTGTTATAACTTGAGGATATTCCTTGTTACTTGTAAACTCTCCAAGACGATTCACCAGTGGGCAAATTCATGAATGTAGACAGTTACAAAATTGGTGTCACGGTAAACCTGCCCCAGNGAGACGATTCACCAGTGGGCAAATTCATGAATGCAGACAGTTACAAAATTTATATAGATGGTTTGTAAAACTTAATTCATAATTTTTGAAAGCAATTAGTCTGTTTTCAGAAGTTCATCAATATTACAGTAATATTTAGTTTAAATATTTAATAACTATCAAAAAAATCATTGCCTTCTTTATTAAACTGGACTAAACTAGCACATTCTTTACTTACTGGAAATCAAAATACTAGACCAAAACATTATTTTGTAACATATTGGGAATTTTCAACACAAATTATCATAAAGTGTAAAGTAAGTAAACGGGTAACTAGTTTTAGTGTTAATAACAGAAGTAAAAATGCTAAACATATAGAAAAAAAGGAATTTTTTTTGCCGTCCAATAGTTTACTGAAATTTGAAAACATGTCAAAAAAAGAAACTATAATTTAAAAAAAAAAAAACAACCTTAGTTACATTTCAATTTTAATGTGCACCATTTTAGTTTTAGGTTAAAACTTTTGAAGAAGAATTATATTTTTGTATCTAGCTATTTGAAGTAATAAATTAAAATTTTAATTCATAAATAAGAGTTAAATACTAAAAAAAATTTACAATTATTCAAGTTTTTAATGAAATTAGTTTAATATTAATAAATAAAAACAAGTAAACATAAAAAATATAAAAACACTATTTATGTAAGTTTTTTGTTAGTGTTGTTTTATGAATGATAAACTAGTAAAAGAAAGAGATTAATAACTTGAGTTTAAATGACAACAATTTAAAAAAAAATGAACAATGCTCTTTAACAAATAAAACATGAAATACAATCAACATTAACTGAAAAAAAAAGAGGAAAGAACTATTGTTCAAAAAATTATTGTTTGAATTATGAAAATAATTATTTAAACAATAAAAAAGTTGGGTATTCAAACGGCAAAAGAGGTTATTTGTGACTATTCCTTTTAGTATAATAAAAACTAACAAAAATAAAAACTAATCATGTCACTATTTATTGCTTAAATTTTGGGAACATCTTACACTCCAGCAAATATTCTAGAAAAATGTGTACCTTATTATCAAACGGGAAAACACAATCAGCATACTTAATTAGTTGACTGTTTGCAAGCAGGGCATTGTAAGGGGACGTTATCACATCATCTTGATAGGAAGGAAAAGCCGCAAAAACAAATCTAAATAAGGTTTAAAGATATCATTGACGAGGAAACTACTTTAAATACACACACACAAAAAAAATGTGTTTTAACAATCTTAAATTTAGTTTACAAATTTTGAGATTTAAGACACATATTTTAACATTATATAACATGCTAACATGATGTGATAAAATTATTTGAAACGGCACATTGAGTGTGCAAATTAAACTTTTACAATGATTCATAGCAGCTTGTAGTTTGCGGGTTATAAATCTAGTGAATTATTAGGCTATTAATTTTTTCCAAACATTCTAACTTACTCAATTAAACTTTCAGCGCATGGTAGTGTCTCAACTGGGAAAATACAAGAAATTATTACATATTCATAATTTTTTCATTCAAATTTGTGTAATTTTACTTTATTTGTAATGTATTTTAATTTAAAAGGTGACACTAAATAATTATTATTTTCAACAATTATTATTTTTTTAAGACATCTCATCAATATTTCTTTTCTAAATCTCTTAAAAACCAAATGCCACTAAAATATAACCACTGGAATCATTTAGAGATAACTTCTTTAACTAGGATGAAAATTATTTTTAATTTTTCAAAATAACCTAATCCAGAAATAGAATACTGGTTGCCTTAAGGTTATAAAATTGCAGGATTTAAGTTTTACAATATCTACAAACAAATTTTTAATCGCTGATATTGTTGCTCATGGTGCTGAATAAAGTCAACTAAATTAAAACTGTTACAACTTCTTTTGAATTTTAAGTGCTATGCTAAATAAGTATTGAACCTTTTTACTGTGCATCTTTATTTAAAATAATTTGTATAAATGGTATAATGATAAATGATCAAATGAATAAACTGTCAAAATTTTAAACTTTGAATTATGAAATGTATCTTTTGACACGATAATGCTTTCATGCACTGTAGGAATTTTTTATATGCATTTATAAAACTTAATTGCTTATTTTGTAATATAAAATTTACAAAGTAAGTTACAACATTTATTGAAATTTGGAGCTTATAATGCTGATTGTAAATTAACATTATAAGTAAAATCAGTATTTTATTTGCTTTAGAAAATAAAATTCTGATATTAACTGGTCTGAATAAAAAAAAATAATTTGTAACTTTAGGTTCTTGTAATAATTAAAATTTCAAAACTATAAAAAATATGAACATGACTAACAAATAGGAAACTATTATCTAATAATATTTATATTTAATTTCATAAGATACTGAAACAAATTTTATTAAATACCTAGATAAATGTTTGTAATGAAAAAATATATATTTTTAAATTAATTTACTTTAGTCATAATAGTAGTCATTTAGATATATACATACATAATATAGTATGCACATTATATTAATATAGTATACACATTGTGTCCATGATTATTTTTGTGTTACTATTTGTCATAAGTATAAAAATGGAAATAAACTAAAAAAAGGCAATAAAATAACAAAAAATAACTTACGTGCAACATATTATAATAATTTACAGAATATGATGTTTATTGCAGGAGCTTCAAAAATAAATAAAGAAAAGAATGAAGAAAAATTTAAAATACATTCATTCAAAATAAATAAGAATGTTAATAATATTTAATGAATTATTTATTTTAAGAATGAGTAATATGCATGTATGTGTGTGTATATAAATACATATATATATACACAGTGGAACCCTTTTTTTAGGTTTTCATCAGACTAGCATTAAAAAATACACAAAGTAGGATACCGTAAAATCAGGGGAAAAAAAGTATATTTTTTCGAAAAAATTGACATGAGATGAACTATTAAGAAAATGTGTAATTTTTACATGGTTTTTGTATCTTAAATAGAATTTCAACAATATCCCTCTCAATACTTACTACTGTTTGCGAATTTTTTACTAGTTTTTAATACTAATACATACAATGATTTTTATATTTTGCTTATCTCCATTATTTTCATTACTATCATTGGGAGTAGGCCTTTAATCAGATATTGAAGGAATTGAAAGTAAAGGAATGTGAGTTACGGTCAATATACACGCCATTGACTCTGGAAGAAATTCAGGCACGCAATTTTATTCCAAAGGGTCAATGCTACTGTTAGATTATGAGAAGCAGTTAATCCCGAGAAGTTTGTAAGGCATTTTAATTGACACTGTCCACTGCTCCAAAAATCAAATTCAGAATATCCAGACTTTTTGTTATTTGTGATTTAGAAGCATCTTGCAGCTCACCGGAATCAAGAAAAAGAAAAATGAATAACTAACCAGTTGTGTAGTGTAACATTCTTTAAATGATTGGATAATTTTAAAATTGATAAATAATTCCACTCATAAATTTTACAATTTAAGCTCCCATACTTCCTTTAACAACCATTTCCCTGCTTTGCCCACCCCACCACCCTTCTGATTTTGAATCAAGGAGGAATTCCTTTTTCACAGATAAAAGAGCAATTAGAAAGAATAAAAAGGATGTCAGAAAAGCTACTGAATAAGTTCCTTATTTTAAAGACTAAAAAAAAGAAAAAGAAATTCAGAACAAGTTTGTGCGAAGCTTTATGGAGACAGAATTATTTTGATGTGCTAGAAAAACGGTTTAAGTGGGATTTTCTTAAACATATCAAAAATAGAGTTTTGAAAGCCAGTGACAAAGTATAAGTTATCTAAAAACTTTTTAGTGCATATTTACTTATTTTAGCTCCCACAAGATCAAATCAAAGAGAAAAAAGATGCTCATAAGATTTTGAAGCCAATAAATATTATTCTGAAGAGAGAAAAGGAAATCTTTTAATCAATGGTTTAGTATTGAAATGTTTATTAAAGTATTTTTCATTCAAAATTAAACTTAAATTGTCACTTTTGACAGAGTTCTAATTACACTGTGAACCCTGTTAACTTATATTTGTATGGCTATCATTAATATGAAAAAGTAGAAGAGTGTGTTTGTTAGAAAGATTCATTTAGCGCATATGACAAAATTGTCATATGCAAAAGCATGCAATAGTTTTCTTTTTGTAGTCTATTCACTTTTTACTTAAAATCCTTTGAAATAATTTCTTACTTTACATAGATATGAAACTTAAAAATATAGAGAAAACATGGAAAAAGATACCGTAATTTTGCGGAAATATGCCATGGCGTTATTGATTTAAAACTTTAAAATTTAGCAGAAAGGCGTACCTAACAGGGTGGCCTACATAGAATTACTTTTTTTTTTCTTCTTTAGAAATTTTTGCTTTTTAGAAGCTCCACTGGAAATTTCATCACAATTTTTTCCACCTGTTACTAGTGGTTTTTATTTATTTTTTCATGCTTAATGTTACTCCAAAGAATGGTCAAGGCACCTGGAATTTTCCCCTCCTCCATTCTTTCTTGGCATCACTTTCTGGAGACTGTAGTAAACAAGAGAACAAAGTCTCTCTTTCCCTTCTGCCATATGAACAGCTGTTGAGTGTAGGTAAAGAAATGAATGAAAGAAAAGAATGAGGTAAAGGAAAGAAAGGAATGAATGAATTTTAATCAGGGTGGTGCCAGCAATAAAATCAGCAGCAAAACAAACACTTTCCCCCTGTTTTTTCCAGGAAATATGTCATGGCTTCTGTCATGGGATGCCTCTCCACTCCCCCTTTTTCTTCAGCTGGTTGTTAAAAATACATGAATATTTGATGAATAATGGGTGTGGATGATCTTGGGATGACTTTGAATATTCTTACAATTAGAATGTTCAAGAAGAATTTCAAACTTTCAACTGAACGTCAGTGAAGATGGGAAAAAGCAATGTGTGATAATTTTACACACAGATAAAAGAAAGACCGTCATAGGCAGAATCAGTAAAAAAAAAAAGAGAAAAAAAAGAGCTGTTTTCTGAAGCCTGAACATGCAGTTTTCCATTAAAACATGTATAAATTTTAACATGTAATATGATAGAAAACACATAGTTTCCCTTTCAGCTCAAAATGAAATACAGCCTTTTCTAACTAAGAAAAGATTAATAATTAGCACTATGAGAGGTAATAAAATATTTTCTGAGGATTTTAAGCTATTCTGAATAAAATAAAATGAAACTAAAAAATAAACGGCAATTGTTCATTCACATCTTAAACAATTTTGAAAATTAATATATTAATCTAATACAATTATAAAATGAGGCACAATACAGAAAATATATATTTATATAACACTAGATGTTCATGTTTAAAGAAATTCAACATTGAGGATATATTAAAAAATATAAACATACTTAGGAATTTTAGGAAATTCATCACATAAGTACTCAACAATAGCAGTACCAAGACCAGAGCCAGTACCTAAAGAAAAGTTTGTGAAACAATTCAAGAAATAGAATGAAAATATTTCAAGTCCTTATAATAATTAATTAATTATACATATTTTATCATATTACTAGGAGGTTGTCCATAAAATAAGCTTCTTAAAATTAAATGGTATAAAGCTAAACTCTTTTTCCCATTGAAACACTTTGTAACATTTTTTTTATTATTATGGCTGGCATTGAGGAAATGTAAATTAAACAATTCAAATAAATAAAAATTAGACAGTGAATTTTAATAAAAATTTCAATTTCCAGTATATTTTAATTGNCTTAAAATTAAATGGTATAAAGCTAAACTCTTTTTCCTATTGAAACACTTTGTAAATTTTTTTTTATTAAACAATTCAAATAAATAAAAATTAGACAGTGAATTTTAATAAAAATTTCAATTTCCAGTATATTTTAATTGGTTTTTTTATCTATAAAAATAATATTTATAATAAGATGAAGAATACAATGCAGCTAAAATAGTTAACATCGAACAAATTTAGAAATGTTATTGTTAGCAGTACAAAAGAAATAAAAAAAGTAAGAATTAGTATTAAAATCTTACCACCACCAAGTGAATGAATTACAAAGAAACACTGAAGATTATTGCATTCTTCAGCTTCTTTTCTAAACAAGTCAATAAGTTCCCTCTTGTATTTTGTACCATAAAATTTATTTCCAACTGCCCTGAAATGATAAATATTTAAAAATATCTAAAAATATTTGAAAATAAAATAGACACGAGAGAAATTGGTATTTAATGATGGGAATTAATTTAAGTTAGGCAAATTAATAAAAATATGTATTATTAAAAAATACTAATACATAATGCTAAGTTGAACAGCAAACATGAAATAAATTTTTTGTTTCCTTTAAAATTTCTAATTCTTTAAGAATTGTTCTATTTTTTTAATGCAATTTGTAAAAAAGAAAAAGTACCAATATCCATATTAAGTTACATTACTTTTTCTTTTGATGTTTCAACCTGTTTTTAATTGCTTTTGTATGCTCATTATAAATAAGTTTTGACATTGTAAACAATGTAAGATTAAAGCATCATTTCATCATAATTTGTTAGTGAAATTTGATTGTTTGCATTTAATTTTTAAAATTTTGTGCATTTTATAAAGTTATGTCAATTTTTAAAAAGGCCCTTTAGGGCAAGTTGAAAAAAAGCTCTCTCAAGTTTAACATAGCTGCTAATTTAAAAGAGTAAAAAAATGTGTTAAAAAAAAAAAAAAACTCAATATGTAAAATAACGAACAGCCAACATTTCACTTATGTATCTACAGAAATAGAAAATTTTCAGTCTAACACAAAAATGTTGTTTTATTAAGTGTTACTTATAAGGAAATAAATATTAATATATCTTTTTAGTTTCAGCAAGCAGTAAAGAAATCCTAGATTTTATTGACGAATGAAGGACAGAAAATTTTAAAAATTTCAGTAACAAATCAGGATAAACAATACACTTTCTTACGAAAGTAATTACAGAATATTTTCCAACGATAAATAAATATTATAAAATTATACATTTAAAACTATTACATACACATTATAAAATAACTAACTTCAATTCAATTTAATTAACACAAAAATTATCTTACAATTTTGTAAGTGCACTCTTTATATTATGATTGCATTCAATTTATCACTTAAAATTGCACTATTCTAAGTCTTTCAAGCATCTTAAATAAAATTAAGATTTTGAACAGGTGTGAACTGATTCTGCACGTTTTCATTGCTTAATAGATGAATGATATAAATTAATAAACTTGCCACTCTGAGAAATGGTAAAATCACTATGGCAAATCTGACAGAATGTATACTTTTCTCCAAGTTCACATGTTTTAAAAATGGAAATTTCTTAAAATATTTTGCATCCGAGGTTTAGCAATAAGACTTTTTGTTCTCCACTATCACTTTTATCATAAGTGAAAAAAAAATTCAAAATTTAATTTTAAAAGCAATGTTCTCAATTAGCACGATCTAAAAAACACACTAAAAGTTGAGTTGCATTTATGACGAGAACTCCTTTGAAGGAAATTCTTAAGCCCCGCTCGCATAACCGACGATAGTGGAACAAAATTTTTCGATTGAAGGTTGTTTTTCCTGTTATGCATTTCTATTCCTGTCCGTAGAGGGGATAGCACAATCGGGAAATTGATTTCATGCACAAGAAACACACTCATTCATTAATAATATTTAATTGGCTTGTAGAAAATTTGTTAGAATATGGAGACCTGTTTGAAAAATGCGTTTGTGAGAAAATAATGTTCAGAATTTTAAAAGTTAACAATGCAGGCTAAAAATTCTTTTAGAGATTAGAGCTTCATTATAAAAATTTAGAAATAATATCCTACAGAAAGATGCAAAGAGTATAAAAAATTTGTAGAAGTCATGACTGAGCCAAAACAAGGCCTTTTTATACTATTTTCAATACCTTTTGCACTGAATTTTACTACAAATAAACTAAGCGGCATATCTTTTCTGCATATTATTTGCTATGAAAAACATAAACCTATTTCCTAGAATAGCTTTTTGTAAGAAGTAAACTAGTGATAAAATTGACTTATCACACAAAAACAACTATGAAATTCTAAGTATTTGTCATTATATGCCCTTACCAATTATTTCCACAACCTGAAACATCGGTTACTAGTTTTGCTTTATCAAAAAGGTTTCGAAATGGCCCTCGTAGGATTCTGGAAACTACACTTTCTTCCATGTCAACTAGTATGGCCTGCATAATGACATTTTATTAATTATAACATATTTGATCAACATTTAAAAAACATGTGACTTCAGCATGTAAATTAAAAGCTTTAAAGTGACTTAGGGAGATATAGTTATAATTATTTCACACATTAAAAAAGACAATTTGTAGATAAAAATGTAATTGATAAAATATCAGTAGGAAATTTTAAAAGAGTTAAGTATCTCAAAATTAAAAAAAAAAGTATCACCCACAGAATTATTTTCAGTAAATTGTTGCAAGTTTGCTTTGAAATTTTTTATAAAATTAGACAACTATACATTTCATGAAACTTTTTATTGCCAAATTTGAGCTTTGTTCATCAATTCTTCAACAACTATCTTATAAATAGTGCCACCTTAATAAGAAAATCTGCAGGTAAAATTAAAAACTGTTATTATGAAAAAAAGAACAAAAAGTGCCTTGCTTTTTGGGGGACCTAGAAGCCAGCAGACTTGTTTGTCTCGCTTTGCAAGCGGTCACTTGAGGTGTCTCTCGTATGTTCAGGGGCAAAAGACTTTTGACTTTGCACTAAATGTAAGACTGCTCAGGCTTCGCCAGAGCATATTCTAAACTGCATCGATTTTAAGATCGACGAGGTTTTTTCAAAACCTCATCTGTTTTTAGACTTTCTGGACTTATGGAATTGGTCTAATTAGGATGGATCTCTTGGGGATTAGAAACAACAAAGAACAAAAAATTAATAGGGTTCAAGTGCCAATATTTAAAACTCAGGGAAGTTTTTATTTTTATTTTTAAAAAGGGTGCAAGGGATTAGTCATTTGAAAGCATTTATCAGAACCTTTTATAATTATATAATACATATTCCGAGTATTTGCTCTTATTCTCTTTCTCTCTCTTTGTATATATATATTTGATGTGCTGCCATGTATGTCCAAAGATGGCAGCACATTTTCAGACATAAAATGGCAATAAGAAAAGCTAAAATATTGGAATTTATAAAGTAATAAGTAAATATTTATTACAAAATTGTGCAATATTTTCAGAGAAGTTTTACATAAAATCACGTATTTACACACAAATTTTATTTTAAAACAAACAATAACATTGAAGATGTTGAGAATTAGGAAAATATTTCATAATTTTAGAATATTATAGAGAATATATAATTTTTATTTTTTCATTATTACTAGAAATGAGAAAACAAAAGTCTCTCTGAAAAGATTAGATTTTTTTAATGAAATGGTCTTAAAATGAAGCTTTGTAAACAAGGCATATGTTATAAAAATTTAACACGATTAATTTCAATAATATCTGAACTATATCTATGTAAATACGTAATATGGTTTGAAACTAGAAATTCCTGTTTCATAAGTTGCTTTTTGAGGATTTATTTTTCTCTAAATGTAAATGCATACTGTTGTTCAATTAAACCTAAGAAATAGTGGTGGTGTTTAAAGCAAGAAATATGTCGAATGTATTAGGAAGAAGACCACTTTGTCAAGCCAGATGGGGCTGAGCTTATGGGTGGATGAACTGGACGACTGCCCAAGGCTGTCAAAAATTCTGGACAGGTTAATACTTATATGTAAGTTTTTCTTTACATTAATTAAATCTTGGATATATTTTTCCTATTCCTTTTCCACAATTCATGCAAATTATTTTAATTTATTTTTGAAATGTTTCTAATTTCATTTCAATTAATGTTCCTTTTTGTCAGAAGTGAAATCTTTAAAATAACACGAATTCAACTATTATATTATATAAATTAATTATATTAAAAATTTCAATTATTGCACATTTGCGAGTGTGTGAGGAGGGCAATCCCTTAGAACTGCAATGGAAAATGTCAAGAAAAATAAAAAAAACAGGGTTGGAATGATTTAAATACATTTAAGTAAAAAAATTATAGATTTAAATCATGTGATTTTTTTAAATAATAGAACTATTTAGGAAATACTATTTACACAATACTGCATTATTTAATATGCATATACTTAAAGCTGTGATAATAAATCATTGATGTCAAATCTCATTGACAATAATTGTTTTATTCATAGAATGAGGGATGAGTTAATTAATTAAAAAAATTATTATTGTTTATTTATTTATTTGCTTAAGAGCTTAAAAGTAGATAAGAATGTAACTTTCAAATTATACCATTTTGCATTATTTATTTCATATTTTAATGTGCTCATTGTAGTATGTAAAATAATTTGCTGTTTTACTATCAATAAATGTATTTCAATTATACCCATTTAATTTTATGCACATTTATTTAAATAGAAACAATTAAAAAACTTATTAAATATGTAGTTAGTATATCTACCAGTAAATAAAGACTTGTTCAGAGTCTGATAAAAAAAAAGACTTTATTCATTCTGCTACTAGTTTGCAATAATTAAATGATAATATTAACATTTTTATTATTATTGGTATTAACAATTTAAGTTGCAGTAAATAATATAGAGAATATTATTTATACATTTAATCAGATTTTTTATCATTTGGTGCAAAATGAATATAAAAAAAAATTTGCTTCAAATAAAAAAAAATCCAATGTTTAATATATATTTGTTAAACAAAACAAATTTAAATAACAAAACAAAATAAACTTTTTATCAAATCTGATAAAAGGCCTCAATGTTTTGACCAGGGTCGATAAAACTATATATCCTGGTCCAGATAGAACTACTACTAAAACACGTCAATCAAAGTGCAACATTCCTTTAAATTTGATGAGATTAAATATGATTCCTTTAAATATGATGAAAAAAAAATAACACAAAGAAAATATCAATATCAAACACAGACAAAAATATCATTTTCTGCAATGAGTTATAGATTCATGCAGTTTTTCTTTCTCATGTAGAAATAAACTTTGCAATTTTACAGTTGTTGTGGGTATTATCAAGATTTAAGGTTAAAAATAAAAGACTTCTATAGATTCTGAGAACCTTCATTACAGTTGAATAAGTTGCTAGTGCAAAAAAAGTAAATGATATACAATAAGACCCACAAAATGTATTAAAGTGTGCGACTAAAGTTCTTATAAAATAACTTAAAATTTGATCGAACAAAAATTTTTTATAACAGAGAAGCCTGGAGATAGATCTGCAGATACATAGCTAATCTTACAGTAAAGTTCTGATTTGCTAAGAATTAGACACTAGATTTCTTTAATGTAATATTGTGTTCTTAGAGTTTCAGTGTAAGATTGAAAAGTGGATATGATACAGATCTATCATGCATTAAACTGTAAATATCTTAACTGTAAATTCATTCTATTGTAAATTTATATATACCCTCGCTTTAAGGCAGTCAGAAATACTTGAGTATGATTTCTTTGGAGTTTCACATACTTTAAAGAAACAACTGGGATCATTCACCTATTTAGAAAAACACAAATTAGAACATATTAATTTCACTGAAAATAAAATGCAACAGTTATACATTTTAAAATTGTAAAAAAATTATCTTTTATATAAAAGGTATTAATTAACCTTTAATAGCTACTTATTGGTCAAAATGACCTGAGTATACTATAGATAGGTTACTATTAAAGATAAAGCCTGGAAAAATATATTTGTAATGCATAATTAAAAAATTATTAGTTTATTATTAACTGCATGGCATTTATATTAAAAAAAAAAAACCTTTCTCCAAAATCCATTTCATAGACAAAGCTATTTAATAAGTCAAATATAGTGAAACTCAGTAATACTGAACCATCTGCAACACCCAACAAGTATGTAAGCAATGGTTCACTACATTCAAAATATTTAAAAAAAATATTTTTAGCATATTGCAATAGTATTTTTGGAAATAGTGATTGCAATAGTATTTTTGGAAATAGCGATTGCAATAGTACATAATTTGCTTTATGAATTATTAACTAAATATATATATACAGTCTCCTTGCAACATGGTTTCTTTATACAGTAAATTTCTTCCTATAACAAAATTTTGAATTTCTACATTCAAAACATTTAAAATAGTCTCCACGTAACGAAATGGTAGTCTCTTTATAACATTCTTCAGATGTTTATCTTTCTTATTCTCATCATTTTTGAAAGAAGTTGCATTTAAAAGCTGAAATTTTTGAACAACCGATTCCATCTCCCAAGTGCAAGTTTTTGGAGAATCATTCACATTATTCATTTAAACAAAATAACTATTTTAAAGCTCTCCTTATAATATAACTTCATTATTACTAAAAGTCGTTAAGTATATATTTTGAACTTATCATATAGACTAAAAAATTTTATAACATTTATTCAAATAGCAGCAAAAAGTAAATTTCACTATTACTCACTGGAAGTTCACTATAAATGAACTACCAGTTTCTCAGCAGTTCACTATAAGTGCATGAAATAACATTAGTTAAACAGCAACTCAGGTGGAAGTTCACTACAACCAAGTGTTCATTATATATGGGTTTCATAAAAGCGAGGTTAGACTGTAAGTCTTATGGCTAAAAGCAGAGGTGTTTAGTTAGTAGTTAAAAGTGTTCAACTGTGGAGATTTATAATTACAGTATGTTAGATAGATTAGTTTACTCTTCCACTCCAACTTATTTGACATTAAAATTCTTACTGAATGAAAAGTATTAACATTATCATTAAAATAAATACTAGTTTCGACATTTTGTAATTCCAGTTTTCATTTCTAATTATGTATCATTAGAAATATATATATGGTAATATTTCATTTAAAATAAATTTACTCAATAATATAACTCATGAAAATATAAATTTTAAAAAATATTTTTGTAGAATAATAAAATTATTCATAAAAATTTTAGAAAATAGATGCATATAAGTTTTACACACTTATATATAACAAGTCTAATAATGGTCCAAAAAGAAAATTAGATGGATTTTTAGAGCATACATTATAATGATATGAAGAAACAAACTAAAAAATTATGACTCGTAGCCTACCGTTAACTAGAGTCACTTTTACTTTACTTTAAGCCACTTTTCCAATTAAAACATCTAACTTCATAGTACAGCGTAACGTCTCATATCTGGACGTCCTTTTTCCGGAAGGATTGATTTCCTGGACTCTTTTTAACAATCAAAATAAACAAACATCTCTTCATCTTCCCTTTTCTTTCAAAAAAAAAAAAAAAAAAAAGGTCTTTTGACACGTTTTCTCTTCTAGCTTGCACTGAACCCTTGGTTTATGCCTTGAACCCATAAATCACAAAGGGGAAGAAGAGAAGATCTACCAAGACCATTGAGTGACCGTCAGCAACGCTCCTACTCTGTAATGCAGGAAAAGAGGGAGATTTGTTTTCAAAAGACTGCAACTGCCTCCCTTCCCCTCTCTTTTCCTATGCAGCTGGTTAGTAAAAGAGGCATTTCCTGGAAACTTTTTATTGAAAGAAAAGGGTAAACGCTGCAAGCATTAACGTGGAGGGGGAGTCAAAATGGAACATTTGAATAGGTCTAAAAGGATACATGTCCTTGAGAAACATTCATTCTTCCCCTGACCATGTAATATTTAGGAGGCGGGGAAAAAAGGGGGGTAACATTCTTTCTTTAGCAGATTCTTTCAGTCATACAAGAAAAAATAAAGAGAACCCCATCAGCGTGCCCCACCTTTATGCTTGATTGATAGCCAATAATTGGAGAGAAAACAATAATTTGTCACTTCCCCACCCTCAACTT